GCGATTCTCTTGTCTCAGCCTCCCAAGTAGCTGGGATTATAGGCACCTGCCACAATGCCCAGCTACGTTTTTTTGTTTTTGCAGTTTGGCCGGGGCTGGGTTTGAACCTGCCACCCTTGGTATATAGGGCTGGTACACTACCCACTGAGCCACAGGCCCCGCTCGCTCTTCACAGATTTAAGCCAATTATCCTTCCAAAGAGAGGGGGCAAATAGGGTACCATTCCTGGCTAGCCATTCCTCTCAATGGTGTAGCTCAGTTCTTGTTAGCAGGTTGCTAAGGCCCATAGCATCTCAAACAAGCTTCTGCTTGGAGTGGGAGTATCTGACCCACCTTCTGCGAGTCTGCTGCTGTGCCGGCCTGAAGACCTTTCACTGTCTTCTCTAGTTCAGCCATCATTACACGGAAGAAAATGACAAAAGTGTGCCTAGAAGAGGGCAAACCACGTACGTCCACACCATGATGCACTGCTTAGAAAGAACTTTGGGGGATAAAGCCAGGAATCAAATGTAATTACCTTCCCCACTTGTCTGAATGTCCTTTCACTAAGGTCCACTATAACAGGATAAGGCAGTAGAAAGGGATAAGAAAGGAGCCCAAGAAGACGGACTGTCAATCTAGAGTTAAATTTACAAAGGTGGTGTGGTAATATGGAAAGAGGAGTGATATAATGGTGACAGAATCTGAGTTTGAGTCCCAGTTCTATTTGCTTTATTGCCTATGTAAGCTTGAGAAGTTCCTGGTTTTCCAGGAGTTGGAGGTTGCTGTGAGCTGTAATGCCACCGCACTCTACCCAGGGGGACAGCTTGAGGCCCTGTCTCAAAAAAAAAAAAAAGAAGTCCAAAATCTTGATCTGAATGAAGCCTTAAACCTGGATGACAGAGGTGGAAAGGAGAGACAATGAAGTTCTAGGTTGAGAGAACAGCCTGAGCAAAATGATGGAGTACGTGAGAACACAATGTATTTAAAAAATAATGAAGGCATTCAGGGTTGTAAGATGGAGTTTGCTCATATCACAGAGGACCCAAAGGAAGATGAAAGAAAGCCGGGGCTGGGGGACTATAGGTGGAAGGGCCACTAAAGTACTGTGGCACAGGGGGGAGGAAGGGAATAAAAAGGATACTGCCTAGGGAAAGAAGGGTAGGGGGACAAGAGAAATGGATGATGGGGTGAGAACAGGTCCTAAGAAGTATGGAGAGAGGAGCAAGGAGAGTCAGTTTTGGGAGCCAGGACCCTTGATTTCTGCTGTTAGCTGGTAAGATGGGTCAAGGAGCCTCCATACTCACCTTTATCAGGTTGATGAGGACACTGAAGTCTCGAACAGCCATGTTCCAGTAGAGGAGCTTCTCTTCATGAACCTGAGGGCAGCCAAATATATAGGCACTTCAGAGTCACATCGAAATACCTCTCCTACTGGACTCTTACTCTCAGCAATAACACAGCTCTTAAATTACTTAGCTCTTCACAGATTTTTTTTTTTAAGAGATAGAGTCTCACTTTGTCACCCCTGGCAGAGTGCCATTGCGTCACACAGCTCACTGCAACCTCCAACTCCTGGGCTTAGGCGATTCTCTTGTCTCAGCCTCCCAAGTAGCTGGGATTATAGGC